GGAAAAAGTCACAGGAAAAAAAGTCACAGGAAAAAAAGAAAAGTTAACTATCGAATTCTCACATTTTTTAAGGTTAATATGTCAATCAGTTTCAGTAACCTAACCTAACCTAATCTAACCTTACCTTTATTACCGGCCACCATAAATTAATTGTGACTTTTTTCCTGTGACTTATTTTCCTAGCCAAAATTGTGACTTTTTTTCTGTGACTTTTTTTCCTGTGACTTTATTACCGGCCACCGTCAGGCCAGATCAAAGAGCAGTTTCCCAAAGCCGAGGTTGTGACTAAAAGTCAAATCAGCAAGTTAGAACAGTTTGCTGTGTTCACAGTCGCTGTTTATGTCCCATGGTGGAGTGTTTGCCCCGTTCCAGCAAGTGCGCCACTGAATGACTTGAATTTGGTCTAAACCTTGGCTGAATTTGCCCCATATGACGCCACAATAGTTGACAAAGCACGTGTGGCACTCGGTAGACACACTTGGTACCTAACTGAGGAGTTGGCCCCACTGGCTTTATTCTCGTCCCACGTACAAGAAAGGACAAAAGAGGAGATGAGGAAGGCCCTTCTTTGCCATGAAGGCACTGAAGTTACTAAGAGAGTTGGGCTCAATCATGGGGCTATGAAAAGCCATATCTTCCCCCTGTCCAGAAAGTGGCACTGCCCTGGTGGACCTAATTGGGCCTGACTCAAGCGGGTTCTTCACCATTTTAGGCATGCCCTATCAGTTTCTCCACAGTCCAGCCAGTGAATGGGCGGATCATGACGACTCCCTGAACATGAAACGGGTTGTGGACAAGCTTCAGGTCGTTAATGAGGCTGCAGAGCGTGGTGTAAAACTTTGCCATGACTTTCTTAATGTTGCCAGGGATGAGGAGCGCTTTCAAGAAGTCCTTCAAGTAGTTGAGAATGACAGACTCCGCGTTCCTAATCAGCGCAAACGATCATCTGTTTCCGAACAGAAATCATGGTTTCTTGCTCTAGAGAAATAATACCTTGTGAATATATGATAAAACCCCTTAATGTACCATGAGAGAATAAGAATGATTAACTTTTTTGTGTTAGTGATAACAGCTTTTAATTAAGACAGGCAAATGATTTGTTAATATCCTTTATGATGGTTGTGTAATCTCATATATAGGCGTGTGTGCCGTATAAGCAAAATCGCTATTTTTCAAATTGCTAGTGCTCACTCAAATATGCATGAATCTTCAAAAAGATAGTACGTGGGTATTTTTTATGTCAATATGCAACACCAAAATTTTGAACAGCATTGTAGGACAAAGTTGGTGCAACTGTCACACCCTAACGTAGGTGTCTCGTCATTTTTATTAGTTATAAATTATAATGCTTTTTTCTTTAATTTTATGGAAGTTAAATTTTGGAATAATGTTATATTTCTATATTACATCACCTGTAATTTTTAAAAACTTTTTAAAACTTTTTGTTTTCTAGGCTCTGATGATAGAAAATGATTTTCCGAAACGTCGGTGACTAAAGAAACCCAACTTAGTCAAGATGTTTGTGCTTTCCCTGGTTTTCCTCTTCGATATATATATATATATATATATATATATATATATATATATATATATATATATATATATATATATATATATATATATATATATATATATATATATATATATATATATATATATATATATATATATATATATATATATATATATGATAGATTCCTTGGCGTAAATCGGGAAGGATTACTGATGGACAGCGGTGATGGAGGTTGTCGTCATAATATATAAGACACTTGTAAGGACCCCTACTATTTACAAATAATTTCGCTTATTTTCATTTAAGTGCGTCTGGAAAGTTCCGTCGTAATATCCCCAGTACTGTACTGTGATTTCATGACTGGAAGTTCAATCCTTAAAGTATATTATGTTTAAAACTTAACGAAACATGAATAATGCTACAGGTACTGTTCTAGTGAGAAAAAATGGGAGTCGCAGAATTTGTGGTTGAGAGCTTTGTACAGCGGCCTTGCACGCAATCTGACAATGCCATGTCACCTGCATCATGACAGGCTGCATATCTAGCGTTATTTTCTCACCATTATTCGTTTCTTTGATAGCTAAAAGTATTGTAGGTATAACCTTGCATAAGACGTGTCGGCAAAACCCACCATACTAGACGCTCAAGCAATGTAAGTTAGAAAGAAAAAAGTTAACTACATGTGTGTTTAGTGTTTCTATCAGGTAGTCAGTTGAAGGATAAGTTACAGCTTGGTTAAATTGAACAAAAGCGAATGGCACATATAATCAAGTACGTGAAATTGGACACTGTTCATACCCGAGGGCGAGCACACACGACGGCCCGCTGCGTTACTGGAACGTCTGGCTCACCCTCAACTCCTCAATACATACGGATACTTATAAAATAAATTACTTTAATTATCATGAGAATTTTATCGGCTGAATTAAATAAAACTAAGAATAAAATAAGTATATCCTAAAACTAGTATAATTTTGAATTACTTATAGGAACTGTATTCAAAGTATTTTAGAAATAAGAGAGTGTAAATAAAAGGTGAGGCACCCGAACGCGTGTGGGTATTTGATGGAATGCACCAAATTACTACCTCTGCTTAAGAATATTGCCGGGATTGATGAATTATTAATTGCTGTAGGTGAAACGCACACGAACATCTACTTCCTGGCGTCTCCGTGCGAAGAGGTAGGTCAAGAATGTAGTAAATCAAGGTATATTTGAGGAAGAATAATTTGCAAGTTGTAGAGTGAGGAGGCAGAAGGACCTGGCAGAGGGTGCGTGTTCTGCCTCCACACCTCACCTCCACCATGGCATTATCATGTTTATTTGTCATATATTGACGGTGAAACTGGTCTTCTCCTACGACCCTGCCGCAACCCTCGCTCCTACTGTTACCATGCCCTCTGGAGACGCACTTGTCACTCCTTCAGTTGGTGGTGACTCCAGGGGGCACCTCTGGTGCTATGGTCGACCCCCTTACCTCTTACACGTACTTTTACACTTCAGTTTAATGGGCCTAGTCACACCTGTTTCTCCATCCTAAGGCCCATGACCAACCAACAATAGCCAAGTGTTTTGGAAAGGTTTTGCTATTGCAGCTTCTGTGTTGTACTGTACTTTTTTTAATGTGAATTTCTGACTGGTGGGAGTACACTTAACACAAGCTTGATAACGTCCACTTTGTTTATTAAAGCCTTATTCTGGGAAAGGAAAGCTTGACACTAAGGAACCACTAAGCTTGGAGTTCATAGACTTAGTGCTGGAACAATAACTTAGGGCTGGTGCCCCCATACCTTGAGTGCTTTAGCAAATAAACAAAGACTCATCACTGAACTGTGTCACATCATTAGCATGAACGGGTTAATGTTCACAACTGACCCACCGATGAGTTATTTGTTTTGGTGTTTATTTTCTTACTATATTTTCATCAGTGAGTTCTGATATGATAATCATTTCTTGTTCAAATGCTTCGTTTAGTAGATATTTAGGAGCCTGAGGTGCGCACTACTGTGTCTTCTAGGCAGTAATGCGGTGGTTTTATGTTAAGGTTGAATTGGGTTAAGGTTTGATTAGATTAGGTTAGGTTAGGAAAAAAACAATTGCACAAACTATGACAGTGTCCTTTATACATCTATAGAACACAGTAAAATTGCGTCATTTTTATTATCGTTTACTATGCTAAATTGCCGGCAAGTTAGTCGTCAATAATTACCCAAGGAATGAACCACTGAGTGATGCATTTCCTCAAGTTTGGTTTTACTTAGTGATCTGTTACTAATCACTATTCTGCCTACAATTATTAAATAAAGGATTGCCTCAAAAGGCACTGAAAGCACATAGTCAACATACATTTATGTTATCGTTCTAGTACCTGACGACTTGTAGGGCATTCTTCCTTTCTGGGATACCATTATTTTTTAATGTACTGTATGTTATTGTTAACTAAATACTTTTAGAACTTAAATATTCATCATTTAATTTTACAGGGAACAGTAGTCATCAGATAAGCACAAACAAAACTATGGCCTTGCGTAATCTGGTTGATGCCCAGTGTGGTGAGGGAAATGCCCTCGTTCGCCTCACACAGCATGTCACAAGGGATAAATCTCTCGCAGATGAGGGCTTACGATGGCCTCAGGGTCGACCCCCGACACAAGGTAAGTGTTTCTCTATTAGTATAGGTTATGCAATTAGTGTATTGTATTTTGAAGATGTGCATACTAGCAACTGGTGAAATTTTGAGTTTTTTTATATAATATTGCATGATATTGCAGTAAAATGAGGACTTAATTCACTTCAGTACAACTACCCTATAAATATACATTTTATTTAACCAGAGGCCATTCATCTACTCCAAAGGATCAATAACAGTCAAGTGGCCACAGCCTGGCATCTCCTGCAAATTTCTAGCGTTGTGCATTGTCATATCTTGTGACAAAATGTTTCCATAACTCCCATATTCCCCTTCTCTTTAACATACTCTCACATTTCATTTTAGTTTTTCCTGAAGGGAGGAGCCTTTAGCCTCTTGCTTTGTCTGTCCAACCCACAAACATTACTTTGTCCATCTCTCCTGCACTTCACGTTCACTATAACTTTTGGACCATTGAAGGGAATCTGAAAGACAGATTTTGAAAATAACTTTCAGAAACTTTTATGTCAACAAGGTAATTTATTGCATTAGCTACCTCCCAGGTCCCCGTCATAAAGGTCAAGATCACTCTATTGGCCAGAGATCAAAAGTCCTGTTTGGGTAGACTTAATCAGTTTTATTTTATTTCTTTGTACCTTCATATTTAAACTTTACAGCTTTTCTTTACTTCTGACCATGTACAGGTGTGTTTAAACCACAATATGGGCCACCAACAGTGGTTGGAGACCAACTAGTTGAGGAGTTCATGAGTGAGACCCAGCAGGCAGCTACTACAGCACCACAGGCTTTTAGAATGGACTCCCTCTTACAGGTTAGTCTTGCATGTCCCTGTACAGTAGAACAAAATAAACAATAGTATTGACATTCACAATACAATATTGTACAGTACTTCATAAAAGATCCATTGTAAAAATTGCTCTCTAGCAGACAATCTCTTCATCACAGTATTTCATGAATGATGTCTGGTTTTCACCTTTCTCTCTCACAGCTTAATGAAAATTAAAGGATGATGATAAATTTTAGAAGATGATTTTCAGGAAATGCGAGAAATAGAGAGCATGCGAGCCAGGAGCGGGCCAATGAGAGGTCCAGGCATTGCTGACCTAGCCTCAGAAGCCAGCAACTGGGCAGAGGAATACCTGGCATCAGAGACCCATGTTCAGGTTTGTTGTCAATTATAGAATGTCAATCTGCTTACTGATAAATGCCATTTTCTGTTCGGAAGAGTTTTTCTTAAAACTTTGCTTATGCCAGTAAACAAAGTTAGTACTTGCTGTTTATATATGCAGACTGTACAATACAGTGTATTACCAGACCATAGTACTGTACAGTACTTAGTACATAATGTATATACCTAAAAGACATTTTCCTTTTATAATAGAAAAGGAAAAACAAATCTTACATTTTTGCCAATTGACTTCCTCATTTTTGCCAATTGACACAAATGTTAGAAATGTATAATCTGATGTTCATTGACCTTGAGAATTAATATTTCATTTGTCTCTTTTTACACCCAGGAGATCAGCCCAGGTGGAGACTGGACAAAAGAGTTTCTAGAACAGCAGCACGGTCTTACGTCTCCTGACATCATATCTGACAGTGACACACGATGGGCTCATGAATACCTTAATGAAAATCTAATGTAAGATTTTTTACTTTGTTTATTTATGTTATTCTCTACTGATTTGAAATTTATACAGGTAGACCCAATTTACAAATGACTTATTTTTCAATTTTTGACGAAGTGAGAATTTATACTTAGTCCATTTTGTTGAGAAAACCTTAATTCTGAGAAAGGATTGCATTAAAACAGGGCACCACTAAGCTAGTTGCTTTTGTGCTCTTGTTTATAGAACATCTGTGACTTGAGTGTACGGTACTCGTATATTATTGTATAATTTTTGTAATATTTGGTAAAATTTCTGATTATGAGAGACATTTTCGAATATATATGACTCACATGTTGCCATGGGATGTGACCGCCGACCTCCCGCCTCAGTGGGAACATGTACTATACGCGTCATGCTTGCCAGTCATGGTAAGTTCACGTTGGTCAGTCGTGGATTGTACATTCACGGTCTACTGCACGAGCTTTTTCCCTCTTGTTTTTCCATCATTGCCAAGTGTTTGAGCCATTATGTTTGATGACCCTGAACCAAGCACCTAAATCTGGTATTGTACTTAGAAACATTCATAAGGGTTAAAGTCATTATTTTGAATTATGGGGGTTTTACTGTACAGTATATTGTAAGTAAACAAAATATACTGAACCTGCCGGCAGATTCCGGTGTCTTAAACTTGTGATATGATGCAGGCAGACCAAATGGTGATATGATGATACAAGGTAGCCTGTTTTTGTCCTGTACCATCTACTGTATCAAGTATTATTAACTGTCACTCTCCTCTCCCGTACACTACTACAAGTACTTATACTTAATAAAAATAGTTGTTGTTTTTTTATTATGTTTTTATTATACTTTACACACTAGCCTACAGTAGACTTACACTGTCCACTCTGCTAAATGTACAGTACAGTATGCATAACTGTAAGTGCTTTTTACATCTTAACACTGTATTCTTGACTGATTGTGTCCTGATACAGTAATGTACAGTACAGTATGCATAACTGTAAGTGCTTTTTACATCTTAACACTGTATTCTTGACTGATTGTGTCCTGGTACAGTAATGTACAGTCCAGTATGCATAACTGTAAGTGCTTTTTACATCTTAACACTGTATTCTTGACTGATTGTGTCCTGATACAGTAATGTACAGTACAGTATGCATAACTGTAAGTGCTTTTTACATCTTAACACTGTATTCTTGACTGATTGTGTCCTGGTACAGTAATGTACAGTCCAGTATGCATAACTGTAAGTGCTTTTTACATCTTAACACTGTATTCTTGACTGATTGTGTCCTGATACAGTAATGTACAGTACAGTATGCATAACTGTAAGTGCTTTTTACATCTTCACACTGTATTCTTGACTGATTGTGTCCTGATACAGTAATGTACAGTACAGTATGCATAACTGTAAGTGCTTTTTACATCTTAACACTGTATTCTTGACTGATTGTGTCCTGGTACAGTAATGTACAGTCCAGTATGCATAACTGTAAGTGCTTTTAACATCTTAACACTGTATTCTTGACTGATTGTGTCCTGATACAGTAATGTACAGTACAGTATGCATAACTGTAAGTGCTTTTTATATCTTAACACTGTATTCTTGACTGATTGTGTCCTGGTACAGTAATGTACAGTACAGTATGCATAACTGTAAGTGCTTTTTACATCTTAACACTGTATTCTTGACTGATTGTGTCCTGATACAGTAATGTACAGTACAGTATGCATAACTGTAAGTGCTTTTTACATCTTCACACTGTATTCTTGACTGATTGTGTCCTGATACAGTAATGTACAGTACAGTATGCATAACTGTAAATGCTTTTTACATCTTCACACTGTATTCTTGACTGATTGTGTCCTGATACAGTAATGTACAGCACAGTATGCATAACTGTAAGTGCTTTTTACATCTTAACACTGTATTCTTGACTGATTGTGTCCTGATACAGTAATGTACAGTACAGTATGCATAACTGGAAGTGCTTTTTACATCTTCACACTGTATTCTTCACTGATTGTGTCCTGATACAGTAATGTACAGTACAGTATGCATAACTGTAAGTGCTTTTTACATCTTCACACTGTATTCTTGACTGATTGTGTCCTGATACAGTAATGTACAGTACAGTATGCATAACTGTAAGTGCTTTTTACATCTTAACACTGTATTCTTGACTGATTGTGTCCTGATACAGTAATGTACAGTACAGTATGCATAACTGTAAGTGCTTTTTATATCTTAACACTGTATTCTTGACTGATTGTGTCCTGGTACAGTAATGTACAGTACAGTATGCATAACTGTAAGTGCTTTTTTCATCTTAACACTGTATTCTTGACTGATTGTGTCCTGATACAGTAATGTACAGTACAGTATGCATAACTGTAAGTGCTTTTTACATCTTCACACTGTATTCTTGACTGATTGTGTCCTGATACAGTAATGTACAGTACAGTATGCATAACTGTAAGTGCTTTTTACATCTTCACACTGTATTCTTGACTGATTGTGTCCTGATACAGTAATGTACAGTACAGTATGCATAACTGTAAGTGCTTTTTATATCTTAACACTGTATTCTTGACTGATTGTGTCCTAGTACAGTAATGTACAGTACAGTATGCATAACTGTAAGTGCTTTTTACATCTTAACACTGTATTCTTGACTGATTGTGTCCTGATACAGTAATGTACAGTACAGTATGCATAACTGTAAGTGCTTTTTATATCTTAACACTGTATTCTTGACTGATTGTGTCCTGATACAGTAATGTACAGTCCAGTATGCATAACTGTAAGTGCTTTTTATATCTTAACACTGTATTCTTGACTGATTGTGTCCTGGTACAGTAATGTACAGTACAGTATGCATATATTAACACTGTATTCTTGACTGATTGTGTCCCGGTACAGTAATGTACAGTACAGCACAACATAAATTGAATGCAAAAACAGCAGCTAGCGAGGGAATAACCTTGTACAGTGGCAGCAGAATAGGAACTAAACTTGCAAGTTACCCAAGCAGTTAGCCCACCAATGCACCCAGTGTGTGGGGGCACAGAGGAGCATGATGCAATCTCTCGGAACTCCCAGAAAATTTGTTCACATGCCCGGAACGGAGAGGTTCGGAGAGATTTTCCTGTAATTTATCTGGAAAATGCACCTGATTTTCTTCCTCAGAAACTCGTTTCAATGCTCGGAATGGTGAGAGTTTTCTAGGAATTTTTCCAGCTCACTTTCAATTCTGCCGATTGGAGAGTTCCGGGAATCAAAGATTCTTGCTAACAGGGAGATTACTCTTGTCATTAATGGATCTGGTGCTGAAACTAAGAAAATAAATATTTAGGGAATGACAAGTGAACCTGATGCTTGGACAGTTGGTAGAGGGATAGGTGTTGCGGGCCATGATGAACACTGCCCAATGTAGTCAGCATGTATACAGTATTATTCTATTAATACAGTATTTTAACTTTAACATTTTTAAAACTGTTCTTGAAAATATATATTTAAATCAAAATACTTGAGGCCTGTGAGAGCTAGGCTTGAAAAATAATTTCCTTGAGTCCTCACGGGCGTAGGCGAGTCGAGCTGACCAATAGGCATCTCATGTAGCTTTCAGTCAATTGGGTCGCTCTTGCCCTGTAACCACACTACCCAGGCACTTCAGTTTCCTGTGCTCTCTGCCTGTGGCTATGCTTGAGGATTATTACCCAGTGTTTTTATGGTCTTTATTTTATTTTATTTTTATTTATTTTTACCATTAACTTGGACATAAATTCACTTACACCTCCCACTCCTAGTATATTGCTGTCTGGTGCTAAGAAGCACCCTAGGAACCCTGAGAACTACTGTACAGTAGTTCCAAAATAAGGATAAAAAAAAATTCAGAACCTTGGCTAGACATACAGTATGTCTCATGGAAGAGTCACAAGCACGTGGCAGCTGCATGTGTGGGGCCTTCTTTTACCTGCAAGTGGTGTTATTCTGAGAAGATCAGAGAGGCAGACATCAAAATGACGTTCGATGATTTTTGGAAACCAGGAGATTACAATCTGCAGAATGCCTATCTCCACAAGGCAGAGCACTTACACCCCTCCTATGCCAGAGGTCACGTACGCATAATTTTCAATTGCCAATACCTTGTACTGTATCTCAAAATGGCAAATTGGCACTTACGCCCTTGCTAAAGGCGACATCTCAATTCATCAGCAACATGCAGTGAAGTACACATTCCTGAAGCTCAGTTTCAGCAGTGAACTTTATTTCTTTCTTTTTATAGTCAGTCCAGCAAATGTGTCTGGTGTCCCTACAACAAAACTTAAATATGATATAGTACAGTACAATACAATACAATACAATACAATACTTGGGAAAGAACCTAGTTAAAGTTCTCCCTTGAGGAAGGAATGAGTCCAGTAGGAAGAAGGCATGAGGGGATGAATGTGTTTTATGATAATTTGCTGTGGTTTGGTTTTATTTTATTTTTTCCTGAGAATAAAGTAGATAATTTTGGGTCTCTCACTTGATAGTTTGTTTTGGTTAATACTCTAATCATAATGGGTACAAAAAATCAGATAATTTATTTCCCTCATTACAGGTGCTTTATTCAGTAAATATGGGCACGAGGAAGTTGATACACGTTGTGCTGTTGAAATATATTAAAAAAAACAAATCACTATGTTTATGGGTGTTGTATTTTCAGAGATGAAGCAGCTAGTGCAGAGGCCAGTAAGTGGGTGGAGGAATATAATCCACAGGAAGACTCAGAGCTGGCTAGAACAGCTAATGAGCTCCTAGGAACTGTTGATGACCCAAAGTTCTCAAACACAGAGGTTGGTATTACCTATGTATTTGTATTGCTTTTTATTTTTAAGCTTCCGGATGTCCAACCATCTTGTACCAAATATAATGCAGTAGGAAGTTGTATTTAGGAGTGAAAAGACAACTATATATTTACTTTTTCAGTTTATGAAATTTATCAAAAAGTTGGGAGAAGGTACAAAGACGGACGTTAACAAAGATTGGAGTGAAGAATTCCTGACTTTGAATACCAAGGGTGCTGCTGGCAGCCTGGCTGACTCCTGGAGCGCTGAATTCATGAAAGAACATCAACAACCACATGAACGATGGGGGGAAGAATTTGCTAAGCAGCTAGGTAACTTAATTCTCAAGCTCAACTCCACTAATTTCATCATCCCTGAACCTGAAACTGACTCTGAACTTTGGATATGTTTTGTAGGATGTGCTTTAACACAGTGTTGGAGACATACTTTATCTCAGCAAACAAATCCAACCAGCTTTCATGTTTTGTGTGTGTCATCTATACTTGGCTTTCACTAAGTTAAACTTTATGTTTAGCATATTCCTCTATGGACACCTATTTAATTCATTTATCACAATTTACTTACTTATCGAAACTAATTATCATATTGTATTTCTCCCAATACATGACTTAAAGTCTTAGTTGTATGATTCAAACAGTAAGAGGCTCAAATTTTAATTTGGAAGAATTTGCTCTCCTGAGAATAGTCTTGTTTTTCTTCATTTGGGGTCCACCTCATCTATTGTATTCTCCAGGAACATAAGTTCCATGAGTTTACTGTATTTAATCACTGTCTCACCTAACAACTAGTTTAACCATTTGACTCTAGCCCATTTCATACAGTTGTTATATACTTGTTTTCTTGGGCAGGATCATTGGACAACATGACAATTGACAGTGAGTCTATGAGCACAAAAGAGAAGGAAAATTTCTGGCAGAGTTTACAAGATGAATGGGAGAAGATGGCCCGAGAAGATGAGCTAACAGAACATCCATGGCTGTCTGAGTTTAACACTAGTGCCTTTGAGCCATTTAAGGTAATTTATTCCTTGAGAAATACTTCTTAGTCATTTTCAGTTATGTGGGTCAAATGTCTAGTGGTTTCAATCTTGCAATTCTTTTCACATTGTATTGAAGAGTGGCTAGAATCAGACCCTCCCTTCACTTAAAATCATACATCTTTTTTTTTTATTGTATGAGATGTTTCTCGATCTAGTGCGCTCCCCTCCTTTCCCTGAATAAGGTCTTAAGATATCCATCTGGTCTACCCTTGTTGCTCGTGGAAGGCTTGAGTTATGAAGAGATAACAAGGTAGGGGATGTTGAAGGACCATGAGTGAGTGGGTGTTAATAGGAATTTTTAGAATGGTAACCATTTTCATATACAGTGTCCTATTACTGTACTCGCTATTCTTTTGTGGCTAATCCTTCAAGGGATTGAGACATTAGAGACATGTATAGAGAGATTTACTTGTTTATTTATGTATTCCTTGCAAAGTCTGTCATGTACAGTCAACAAAATAATTATTGTGCCCCTGGGGTCCATTGGGAACTGGGAATGAGTAAATATCTCAGGCACTCATGGTATGTGTTGGGTTGGTACCCTTGACTGTATACCCCTAATATACTTTATTGCACAAGAGTGTGTGATACATTATATGGTACTGTATTATAATAGCCTTTTATTTGTGCTAAAAATCAAAGGTCAATTGCTCTAAAGTATATGATTAATAGATGAATAGGGAAGTATTGTATGACACTGAAACAGAAGGGCTATTATTTTCAATGTCTTTAGGAAGAAAACCAACAAGTAGAAGAAAAGACTAACTGAAATAATTTGAGAATGCAGTACAGTTACTGTACTATACTTATTTGTGGTTGTAACTCTGAAGTCATATCTTCAAAATGTCTCGCAGATAATGAATATACCTGTATTAAAGAAACACAAATATGCCATAATACATAGAAAATTGTGGTTTAATCCATTTTACAATTACTGCTACAGTACAATTATTTATGCACTATATATTTTCATACTTTTTCTGTTATATACTTTTAATGATATGCATAGTTTTGTTTTATTAAAAATTATGTATGTGTGACTTGTTCACTCTGTTTTGATGCTAGGATAATGTATGATATCTGGGGCATTATTGTGGAGGGGTAACACCATAGTACAGTACATTACTGTACACTACAACCATTTTGGTGAGGCAGCTTGAAAGAACAATGGACAGTAAATAGGGAAAAGTGTGTTACTCTTGATGCATGGCAGGGAGGGGATTGTAGGAGTGAAAAAAGTACATTTGTATCTGTAATAAGATTTGTATTTTACCCAATTTGTTTTGAATTAAACTAAGAGAAATAATCACTGCCAACAGAATTACCAGTTTGAAGAAGATAACCCACTGAAAGACCATCCTGATCCACTGAGTGAAGGAAAACGGTGCTTAGAGGCTGGTGACCTTCCCTCTGCTGTGTTGTTGTTTGAGGCTGCTGCTCAACAGACCCCACAGAATTCAGAAGCATGGTTGTTGCTTGGGGTAACTCATGCAGAAAATGAGCAAGACCCATCTGCAATCTCAGCTCTTAGAAGATGTGTTGAATTGGATGCTGGTAACAGTGTTGCCTGGATGGCACTTGCAACATCATATACCAATGAATCCTACCAGACTCTTGCTTGTAACTCATTAAAGGAATGGATCCAGACCAATTCAAAATACAGGCACCTGGCATCCAAAGATGAAGGAGTACACAGAAAGCCCAAGATGATGGCAACTACTTTAGCTCCCAGAGAGTTGATACAAGAAGTGCAGGACTTGTACATTGCAGCAGCCAACCAACGACCTGGTGAGAACATAGATTCAGATGTCCAGTGTGGACTTGGAGTGCTCTTCAACCTCACTGGAGAGTACGAAAAAGCCATCGATTGCTTCCACGCAGCATTAAGTGTTCGACCAAAGGACGCAAAGTTATGGAATAAATTGGGAGCCACACTAGCCAACAATGAACGTTCTGAGGAAGCCATTGATGCATATCGTAATGCCTTAGAAATTTCTCCAGGATTTATTAGATGTCGATATAATCTAGGCATTTCCTGCATCAACCTCGGGGCTCACAGGTAAATAGAAATGTCAGTTTTTCGTTTGTTACTGAAATGTTGGCAGCATTTCCATGTGTTTCCTGCTGTATCCACCTGCCCATTAGCTGACTTAGGCACCCCCCCCCCCTCCCAAGTGGAGAATTAAATGTGCAGTTTTTTATTTCTGAGCTTTACTCCCATTAGTTTTTAGGGTCTGTTATCACTGCTCCCCTTCTCTCAGGTATTAATTTTTGTACACTATACTGTATCAAGAATGGCCTTAAGGTCTTACTTGAGATGTCAGAGACATGCATTTCCACCATTCAGTCTCCTTTAAAATTTTTGTGGGGTGTATTCCCTGGCCACCCAGTGCTTTAGTAATAAAAGCACTACTGGTACATATCCCTTTGGCTTATCCATGCTGCTTTGTATGTTATGTCGGTAGAATTTGAAGTAATTTTATTTAATACAGGGAAGCAATGGAGCACTTCTTAGAGGCCCTAAATATGCAGGCAGCAGGGAGAGGACCAGGTGGGAAGGAATCATCACGGGCAGTGTCTGACAACATCTGGATGACGCTCAGAATCTGTCTCTCTTCCCTCAATGCCAGGCACCTCATGGATGCTGTTGACAAGAGGTAAGTTTCCTAATTTGTCGGTGATGTCGTAACAAAACGCCTTAAATGGCAACAGTGTAAATAGAGGACTTACTGTAAGTAGTTACCTTATTTCTCTGCCACATCAACAAATTTTCTTTACATTTTATCAAAAAGTCCACTTATCAGTTACTCTGTAATGAGTATGAGTAAATTGTACTGCAATTGCTGTATTTTTTATGTATTAGCTGAATATGTGAATTTATAATTATTGTTTTTATTTATTTTTTATTGTTTCCTTTATGTGTAGAGATTTGAGACGATTAAATGCAGAATATGGCGTAGGCAACAGCAGCTCCAGTTGACTTTCTGGAAAGCCATTTTCACTTTGGACACCAATTTCTTCCCACCGCTCCCTGCCGTGTGATAAAGTTCATCAACAGCTGTCGTCACCTCTGTCTGTAAACAGATGCCATTGTGATGATTTTCCATGTGAGTGTTCATTGTACAGTACGTTATATCCTGAAGTAGCAGCTACTGCCATTAAAGCTTGAGCTAAGATAAAAGTCAAGTTTGTATGCCTATTAAAAAAATTTAAGTGCAGTTATATGTGTGTGTCCAATTTTTTACTTGATAATAATAATAATAATAATTAACAGTTTATTGAAAGAGCTTGGCAGCCAGAAGGCTGAAAATACAGTTACATAATTGGGGATGACTGGACTGTGAAGTGGTTGTTGTTGGAGAGAGAGAGCAGCTTATGATGCTGATTATGGTTGTGATTCAGAGTTATAATATGACAAAGGTTAAATAAATTGATTTTGATATTCTATAAATTATTAATATTATTATTATTGTATAGGGACTGAAAACTCTGTTTGATATGAGAAGTTGATGTTCTCATCCGCATGATAACATAATTGTAGTAAAGTGTTATATTATGTTAAATAATTGCCAAATCAGTAATACCAGTATGCCAGTTATTTTTATGTTGTGTTGTATTTTTAGGTAACAGAGTTGATATTTAGGCTCATATGTGAATTATTAGATATGTTTAAAGATGGTAAACTGTTAATACGTTATCTTTGATGCATAAATCCTTGTTTTTGATATACTGTATGTTGGTTAAGGGCCATGATTTCGTAAGATCATTTTTTTCTGAAATTTGTAGCTCTTGAATTTTCTACCGATTCATTTAGTGTAGAATGTGCGTGAGGTGTGGTGCTTTGTGCAGAGAGTACAACTTCTCTTAAATTATGAACTTGACGCTGGTATTAATACTGATATAATTTTGCCAAACTACACCCTCTCATCTTACCTCCACGCTGGTGTCTACTTACATACATACAACAAGATTCTTAGCAGAGCCAATTATAACCTATCTTCGATTACAATGAGATAACCAGTCATTAACTATGGAACCCCAGCTGCTTCACTACACTGTTATCTTCAATTTTAACTTACAAGTAATCTAACTCTTCTTGTTCTTATACTGTACTGTACACCCTTCACTGCTCTCAGCTCAAATCAGAATGCTGGAAACATATTCAGCACATGTAAACAATTTTCACCTCTGGGTGCTGAGATTTGAACCCAGGCCACCAAAGTTGGTAGTCAGGCACCCAGAGGTGAAAATTTTTCATCTATGCACATTACAGGTTCTGATATACAGTATATTCAGCACATTCCTGTACAATGGTTTGCCAGTTACATAAAACATTCAACAGTTATACTAAAGAAGAAATTTTTAAATTCATAAATATTTTAATTATTTCCGATATATAGAGGAGTGGTCCGGAGCACCTCGAAGAGTCCGAATTAATTGGGACTGACCCCCTCAGTCCAAAAACCGAGAAAGTCTGATAAAAGTGAATCTAGGGGGCTCGGACATAACCCTGCTTATCTGGACTGTTTCCAGAAAATCATACATAAGTCTGGTTGTTGATAACTGTTTTCACTGATATGATTGTTTTGTTCCGTAAAATGTTTATGCATTGTATAAATAGTAGAAGTGTGTCACCAACCAGGGCTACCCAATCATACTCCTCCCATGGTGAGTGAAAAATCCTTTAGGTGAGTCAGATTAAAAAATCACAAGTCAGTCAGGCGAGTGATAATTTTGCTTGATGCAAAAGTGAAGGAGACCTTGTAAGTACAGTAGATTCTTCTATGTGATTACTGGAGAAATACATTCATCTGCGGGCACCTGTGTTTTGGAAGTCACGACTCAAACCCTCATTCCTCGTAAAAGACGCTCTATCAAGTCTCAGTCTCCATTATGGTATTTTAAAATAAAAATGTTAAAGTATACAGGAGAGTAAATAACTTCATCTCCGTACCTTGTTTTATTTTATTTCTCATCAAAATAAGTGGCTTCTCTCATCATGAATTTTTTGTTAGGTAGTGAGAAGGAGAGAGAGAAGATAAAGCAAGACGTCACCTTCGATACAACGTACAGTACAGTACGTATCCTTTTACTCTCAAGTCAAAATACAAATTTCATACTATATTTTATATGGGACTGAAGACTTTATTATTTATGATAAACTGTATATCGTAAGAGACTGATCATAGTAGAATAAAATAATAATCAATTTCAATAATAGTCAGGTCGAATGCTGACCTTGACGGTAGGAGGGGAAGAGTGGTCAGGGAAGAGATTACCTTCTGATACAGCTTGTCTTTTTATTTTCAAGTCAAATAACAATTATATATCGTATTTTTATTGTTATTTAATGTTATATTATTTATGAAGAAACATACACCATAAGACCATAAGAGGTGGAGTGCACTAATGATACTTATGAATGTTAGACTCAGGCTGAGGCACATGCCACCCGCGCATTTACAAACACACAAACCGTCCGGACTAATGCACAATTTTCCAGGCTTCTTAAAATATTTCCGATAAGTAGAGTGGCAGTCCGGAGCACCTCGGAGATTTAAAAAAGGCAAATGCCAATAGTATATTGAAGTATGATTTATCAAGGTTTTACTGGGAGCATGGTAGCCACCGTAACACGACAAAGAAAATAGTAGGAGTCAGGGAGTACAGTATTGCTGTAAAATTGGATCATGTATGGAATTGGAGAACCAAAGTGACTAAGAAGAAAAGCCTTCTGGTGAAATAAAATTATCTCACAGTAGTGTTGTCATGGAAACTGAAGCTTACAGCTCTATTACAGTACATTCTAACACCTTTAATTACAATGTGACACCTGTAAGTACACAGTATATTGCTGACACTTTTTAGTGCATTCTGATAAAATTAAGTACATTCTGGCTTGCATTTATTACCCTTCATTGCCTTTATTACTCTTCATTGCCTTTAAGTAAGTTCTGACACATTTCAGAATTATTTTCAACAACTTTTCAGTCATCTTTATCACAAGCAATCACCGAGCACTGCGTGCTTTGTGCCGGCTCGACTTAAGATGACTAAAATTTTATATATGAACCCATACTTTTATCTTGCATTTATTTTTCTTGAAATTAAAGAGTACAGTACAGTGCTGTATAATTTACATTTACATTTCCTGATTTGAGACCATGAGGAAGTGTATACAGTAGTGTTACACAGTACAGTTTCTTTTAGTAGTCTGAAAGAAACAGAGAATACCCAGATTTGTCATCCAGACAAAGTTTTTTTGACTAATTATGCATAATTTGAGGGTGCTGAATCCAAATCTGCCAGGTGCCATCTTGTCACCCTTGGGGAAAATAAAATATTCAAGACGGCATCAAAAATGGCTGCCAAAACAATTGTGGGAGACATTTTGCTTTCATTCTTAAGAGAAAGTGATGATTTAGTGACTAAGTCTAATAACATACTCTGGAAACAGAAATATTCACTTATGATCTTAATCTTATATACACTTAAAGGTTACTCCATCTTATTCCAGACTCTGTAAAGATCCACAGTATCATAAATTATAGGACTTATTTTTTTAATATATATATGTACTCAAATATTTGATATTAATCAACAGTCATCATTGCTTTCATCATCTTCCTCATTAACTTCAAGAGTTGTCATGGTTCTCTCATTGTGCCACACATTTTCTGCATGTCAACAACAGAAAATGGAGCATGATAGCATGGCAGCAACACAACTATGTCGATCAGTTGAACATGGCAGATTGGTTGAACAGCTGCACTTGATCAGTTTCTGGACACTGTCTGGTACTGGTGACACGTCTAAAGGCAATGTAACTGGGAGCAGAAGATTGGATGCCTGATCACTTGACCATCTGTACTGCCTTGGGTCATGGTTTGGTGGACCAACTTCTAAGGCTGTTCTCCAAATCATGGTCTGGTAGTGCACCCTAAGCACATGTAGTTCAAATGCTGCAGTTGTTGGAGGAAAGCATCTCAGCTCCGGAGCTGAAGTCAGCCTTTTGTTGGACATTTTAGATGTCCAAACATTAAATCGTACAGTAGACATATCATGGATGACCTTCGAGTCATAACATGCTGCTACAAATCTGGTGGCTTGAGAGACAACCTCTGTTATCTCAGCAACAATTTTCCCAAATTTGTCAAAACGATGACCAGATTTCAATGTCTGTATGGCAGTAACCTTGTCAATACCATGGAGATGAGCGATGATGTCACATCCAGAAAGAGCGAGTGCTGCCATTATGTCAACAACAAGATCCTTGTGCTTTTCAACTGTGGCCTTGATATCAATGGTAGATCTTGATGGACTAGTCCCCTCTATGAATATCTTGCAGGTTAACTTCTGCTATTAGTAGTAGTGCAGCAGCAGTACAAACACATGTGTGTCATTGCAAATGACTTTGATGCAATCAACACCACTTGGGGTAAGAAACAACACCTGTTTTGCTATATTCACATCCACTTCTTCAAGAAGCGTTTTCATGTGTGGTTTGCACATGACATTACCTAACTGAATCTCTTTGGGTACTGAGTCTCGGCTAGTAGTGATGAGCCTTCTATCATTCTGTAGAAGAAGCTCAGCATTCTCCTGTAGATACTGACAGACAAGATCTATCAGTTTCACTTTATTATCTTTTACTATCAGCACAACTTTCTGAGAGGGTAGTTAGCATCCGCTTGCATTTTTTCCTGCTCTTGACATCCTCATTGCATCTTTTATACTGTTTGGGTAGTACCTTTCAAAGATGAGATATACATCAGTCTTTTGCAATTTGTTGCTGATGTGTGCAATCATGTTCTTGATGAAGTTCTCAACTGTACCCCTGGAAAGCCATGAGATGATCCATAGGACAGCACATCCATCTACCACAGTTACTTCAGCTTGTTCAACGAAATGAGAAGAAAGATCCACTCCCAACATTTTCTTCGAGGTGCCCTTACTCTTCGTTGTCCGCTTGTCACCATTGTCTTCAATTAAGGAAGGTGGCACTGATGATAATTCATACTGAAGAACATCTTTGATACTGATGTCATGAACTTACTGTAGATACAGTACTCTTGAAAAGATGAGGGTGGCATCCAACACTCTGAAGGTCTTATCTGTTCCTCGGTTTGCAGTTCTACATTGCACAACCCTCCGCCAACGATCTGGATGACGTGGATCTGGTTCTGATTTGCAGTCACTACCACAAAATAGACAGTGCTTCTTGAAATGAAATGCATTAACTTCAGACTGCTTTATCTTTTTTGAAGCAGGTTCCTCCACTGAAGTTTCTTGACTTTGCTTCAAGAGATATCTTTGTATGTGAGTTCTAGACGTGTAGGTAGACACACAGTTTTTATGAAAATACACAAGGTGAGGACATACTCAAATCATGCAAGCTAGTCTCTAATTTTTCATTCAGCCCATCACCTTTAAGTCTACTAGCTACTATAATGCCATGTATTCTTGTTTGAGTACCAGTTACAAGCTTAGAATTTTCTACACCACATCTAAATATTGCTTGAAAGCAGCATGCAGGGGAATCAAAGGCAGCCATCATTCACATATTCTGAAATGAAAGCCATGCATTAGTTAGTTGAGTCACCATTGCCACAAACATAAAAATCAGTTAACCAAAATATTAAATACATAATATATTTACTAAATTATCATATAGGCTCTAATAGAAGAAGAAGAATATTAGTTTAATTTTAAATAATGTCAGTTAGCAAAAATAATGCCATTATATATTGCTTTGAAGTTTAAAAAAGAAAACAAGGTATGTACGGAAGCTATTTTGGACGCCATCTTAAATGTGTCTATATTCCAGCAACAGATTTCAAGCTACTTTTATTACTTTCCTTGAGCCTGAAAACCAAAATATAGTTGTTCTTTGATGCTTGGGGGTTGAAATATCAAACTTTATGTATTTGGTGGCTATCTTGGATGCCATCTTGAATATTTTATTTTCACCAAGGTTGACAAAGTGGCACCCAGCAGATTTGGGTTCAGCACCCTCAAATTATGTATAATTAGTCAAAAAACACTGTCTGGATGACAAATCCGGGTTCAGCATAAATCTAGGGTTTGGCTGCTGGACTCTAGCCCTCTACTGCCACTTAGTATGCTTGCTCTTCAGCGCTGTCTCTGGCTGCTCTTGCCCCTCTCTCTGGAAGTTTCTGTGTCCCATGATACACCTCATGTACAAGTTGTTGGAGAGAATGGATGATGGATTTATTAATAGATATATTGTCAAAAAAATATCACAATTAATTCACACTGAAATGTTTCCGTTGTAGATTCCACTATTCTCCCAATTTTTATATACAGTTTGTCACTTTCTCGTTCTTAGCATTTTAAGTTTTGTTCGATAAATTTTGTTTTCCATTTTGTATCTTCAATAAATTTCACCAGGGAGTTAGAGCCAATACTCAAGACCTTTGTACAGTAAGTGTATTAGGATGTGCTTCCAGTATTCATGTTATTACTGAACTGTATTGGTTGTACAGGGTATACAGTATTAGTACAAGAATTATTATACAACTTTTATAACCATTAGAATGATACTCCTTTATATTTACATATTCATACAATAATCTCCATCTAATTATGGAACATAAGCCATTAATTTAAGTTCTCTATTTGTACCCCCCTACCAATAGGAGATTCATACCAAAACGAATCCGTACAAGAGTGTAGCGCCATCAGCCAAGGTGCCTTCAATTTAATATCTCTATTCACGATGTATACTTTATAGCGCAATTAAGGGCGTAAAAAATTGTGTGTGGGGGCTGCTTCATATTTGCTGTTTCAGACCTTTTCTGTTGCTCTTTTGCACCTTTTATTGGACCCAATGTTGACCCCATTTCTTGAGGTGTTTATTTCCTTTACTCTACCCCCCCTCACACACACACACACACACACACACACACACACACACACATACATACATACATACTGTACACATATGCTAATATGGAAGTACTGTACACAGGCAATCCCAGTTTTTTTTATTTAATGTATTCCTGAAAATGTGTTAGTAAACCTGATCAATAAATCACATTGAAAGAATTATACTGTATAAATATTTAATTGGTCAACGGATGCAGGTGAAAACCATTTTTATAAATAAAAACGGTGATAAATACTGTTATCAAAACATAAATGAAAAAATTTATATAGATTATAATAACACATAAAATACAGAAATTATAAGAATTAATTACTTGAATAAAGCACATTATCATAGGTCCAGCATGACTGGCATATCAGAAGTGGTTAGAGGAGAGGTGAAGAGGCTGTAATAGTTGGAGAGGGGATGACTGAGCAAGACAGTGGAGGGGAATTGGTAGGACACCCGGCTGTTAATGTGTTTTCTACATTCAAGTACAGCACTGTACTGCATTAAAATTTCTGCGTTTTGCTATTCGGTTCCCTTATGTTAAAAAAACCTGTTTATATGAGTGGAAAGACCAGAACTGTCATAAATGTATACCGTAGTGTTTGAGGGATATTCTTATGCTGGATATTCTGAAACTGAGGATTGCCTGTAGATACAGTATCTCATCCAAGGTGTTGACTGGTAAAAATGGTTCTAACAAATTAGTGCTAATCATTTACACTGTCTAGCTCAGGGGTGGGCAATTATTTTTTATGGAGGGCCACTTCATGAATGGTGGCACACTTCGCGGGCCACAGTTAACAGCGACGAGCCAGTATTGCTGCTATGTCCACCCAACTTCCAAAATTGTCCTTTCTGTAATTAATAAGAATTGTTTTTTTTGATTGCCAAATGCAGTGGCGGGCCACAGAAATAATTTGGCGGGCCAAATGTGGCCCGTGGGCCGTACATTGCCCACCCCTGGTCTAGCTTAATGTTGATACGGAGCTTTAGCAGTTATTTTTAAGTTGTTTTTAAAGCCGTGCCTCCTCAATGTGCAGATAATTATCACAAAACTGGCAATTATTGTAAAGTGTTTTAGAAATTTTGCACCATCCTTAGAACCTGCATTTGAGTATTACAGAGACACTGGCCAACCACATACGACAAGCCTTCACACCAAACCACAAGTGTTAAAAAGTCCTTAAGACTGACTAATGATTACTAAATCATACTTCTTCCAGCAGTAAGCTCAGGGCAGAGATTCAGGATGGGTCACTCACATATAAACACATTTAATAACTGGTAACTGAAAATTTATAAGCAGAGTACACCTCTTCTTATACAGCACTGCAGTTTTGGTGTCCAGAAAAGTATAGTATGACTTTGTTATTTTAACTTTAAAGAGATCACTGTCAGTAATGGTTTTAATTTTTTTCAAGTAGTGGAAGTTATAGATGTGTGAACAAGTGAGAAAATCACTGCATTTAATTCTGGATATAAAGATAAATCCTTATTTGGATGTCCTTTTGACAAAGTGAAGTTGTATGACACCAAAACTGGTTAAATGAAGTCAGAATATTTTGCAGGATTTGTATGTTATTAATATAGTCTTCATCAGCTGCATATCTGACATTTATTTTTACAGGTGTTATCTGGAGAATAATTACAGTCTTTGAAAAACATAAGTGACTGGAATGGAATACAGTACAACATTCAAATATGCAGGAATAAAATTAAAAATTAAATTCATTGATATAAATAATATACCTTGGTGTTATGAAATTCAGGTTGAAGAACTGAAAGTCAATTGGTTTGAAGTGAACAGTAGCGGTGTTGTACAGTATATGTACTGTACAATATGTAGTGTTAAAACTAGTGTACTGAAACTGGAACTCTTAATTATAAGAGAATTTTCAGGTGAGTTGAATTCAGAGGATGTCTTTGTAGGAAACAATAATCAAAATAGATTTTAGTTATTGTATTTTAATTAAACTTGTTATTTTATTATTCATATATTACTAAGTATAAGATATTGGGTTTGTTTCTACATGTACAGGTATTGATGTAGATGTAGCCATTAACTTGTAAAAGTCCATGGCAGAGGGAAGTTGTACTTTGTGGATGGGATGCCTCCCATAGTGCCATTATTGTGTACAGATTATTATTGTTGTACAAGTGTAAACATTATTCCATACAATTTGATACTGTACATGCTGAAGAGCTCTTATCATAACACACTTTGTTGTTGTGTTAGTGACAGGATTAAAGGTTTGTGATTAATTGGTTGTAAATACCAAGTTACAGAGTCTTGAAGTTTGCAGGAACATTGAAACTTGGTACTGTACTGTGCTGTACTTTGCTGTACTGTACTGACTGCACAGTACTGTACTTTACTGTACTGTACTGTAGTGCCTTAGACTGTAACTGAAGGAAAGTGAGTGATCCCACCAACCTAACTACATTACAGTGGTCCCTCGGTTAACGAGCACAATCCGTTCCAGCAGGTTGCTCGTTAACCAAAACCATTGTTTCAATGGGTTTTTGGGTAATTGGTTCCAGCTCACCGAAAATTGCCTAAATTCAACAAAAAAGGTAGAAAAGTACACTTACTTTGAGGTGTGTATGTAGAAGGCTCCTGGATGATGATGATGATGGGAATTAGAATGGGGGTGGAGGAGAAGGAGAAGAAGGCATTGGGGTGGAAGAGAAGTCACCCATGGCACCATTTCACCCATAAAATTTTAGTTCTCTTGGTGTAATTCAAGATTATTTTCTTTAAATCAACACTGCACTGCATTATATATTGTCAATATGTAAAATAAATTTCAAAATGACCAATAATTTGCTTGGAAACACAGAAAAAAAGCGTTTAGTTGAAGAGAGTCTCAAGCAAGATGTTACCTCCACTGAAAACAGAGAGAGACTAACGCCTGTCTGGTGTGTTAACAGGCTGGATGGCACGCCAGAAACTAGTTTCTTTACCTTCAATTATGTTCAATAATTGTTAAAATTACTAAAAAAGTTAATATTAAACTTTTAAAATTATTGAATAGTATAAACTTCTTGATATTTACTAAAATAGTAAGGAATTTAAGCCCTAAAACCGATTACTGTATTGGCGGACTAATACTACAGCTGGTGGACCGCCAAATGCAAGCGAAAACATGTTGAAGTCGGCTCGTAAAAAACTCGTTAATCGAGGGATTGCTCGTTAACCGAAGTTAAGAATCTTATGGAAGGTAAATCGTTAACCGAAATCTCGTTAACCGAGGCGTTCGTTAACCGAGGGATCACTGTACTGTACCAGATAGTGATGCAACTCCTTGCACTCTCCTTTAGTCTCATGAAGAGGTATTTTGTTTCATAGTTTGTGTACCAACTTTGCGGTTATTGACATAATGCACAAGCTATCACTCTGTGAGGATTGTTTTTCTCATAAAATCAGAGTGCATGCTCGTCGGCTAGTTCATGTAACGCTAAAGTCAGTTTTAACTTTTATCTATCTTTATTTCCATTGTAGTCACTCTTATCTAGTTAAATACCGTAATTAGTGAAGTGTTCTCTATTTTTAGACATTATCTTGTTTTGTAATGTTTACTTTTTCTAAGTTAAATGTAGCTTTATGTAATATCTGTGCAATATTCTGGTTGTGGTATTTTTCCACAGGTTATCTCTTGAGAATAATAAACTTCTATTTTTTCAATGTAACACTCATTCCTCAAAGGTTTAGTGATCTCAGTATATTTTGTCAAGTACTGTACTGTATACAGAAGCTTCCCATGACCAAATTAATTGGTGAGTGGCCAATCTGGTTAAGGGAGAATTCTTGTCACTCATCAACATTCCCAAGTTTCCCAGACATTTTTTGGTTATTCATACAGCTTTGTGGAATTCAGTTATACAACCATTGAAAAATTAACTCAAAACTTAGAAATGTATTAACATTTTGTTAAAGATATATTACGAAGAATATGAAGAAGGCCTGTACTGTCCAGTAAACCTGCACTCTACAGCCCTTTATGCATTTATATGTCTTCTTTTATAATGAGAAACTGTCTTTAAGTCAGATAAAGTAAAGGGTTGTACTGATAATTAGAAGCTATAGTGGTGGAGGAGTATGCCAAGGTGCTCTCTCACCTCTGTCACCCCTCCACTGGTTTGTCCTCAGAGGCAGCATCAAAGGATGAACTAACATTTGCTGCAGTTTTCTCTTATATAAGGGGATATCTTAGCCAGCATTGCTGGTATCCACTGTCAACCAATCACTTATGTCATTCTTGGTAACACCAGTGCCAGAACAGGTGGTGGAAGTAGTCCAAATCAAACCTATCAGTTAGGTTCATCCACTTCATGCTCCTGAACATAACCATTCAACAGGCTGTGTCACCTGTTAGAAAGAGTGAAATTGTCCTATTTATCCCAGACTCCCCTGATTTTACTCTTTTTGGAGTTGTGGCATGTCTTGGTGCTATGCCAGCTCCTCCATTACATGCCTGTAGTGCCTTTTACTCGCAAGAGTGATGCTCATCTCCATCAGATGGATTACTAAAGTGGTGTTAAGAGACAAAAACTTAATCCAACTGTTGGAACTATTGTATGTAGCTGACTTCACTGGTGCGGTATACAGTATTGTCCAAAAGAGGCAACACCGTAGACTCATCCCTGGGGATGTCCTTTGCCTGCATCTGAAAGGTTCATATAATTGGTCCTCATTATTCAGCCCTCATTAATTGGGAACACTGTACTGTAGTGTTATGAGTTGTTTACATCCCACGTGTTTGTTGTCCGGGCTACTTACCAGGGTGGGGTTATTAGTTGGTAGGTGTACTACTTGAATGGTATTATTATTTTATGATCTGTTTTGTTTAATATGGGTCAAATCATGCTACTAAGAATGAAAATCCTGTGTTGATTATTATTTTGTATTTGTTTACTCTGTTTTGTTTGCTTCTGTTCTGTAAACTTTGTACTGTATTTGAGAATTTTATGCCATCATCACCCACTTACAGTACTGTACAGGTACTGTATTGGGTCTGCCTCCTACCACTGTTTGTACCATGATTAAGATGTAGGACAAAATTGAATAACAAGAAAAGATATCTTGGCTACTAAAGTTTCGGCGACAAAAATAACGAGAAAGGGGATTAGGTAATGTAACTGAAATATGCCAGAATTGAGTTATTAGAATCATGTACTGTTTTGCCTTGAGCTGGACATGAGATTTACCCCAAATTTCATACTTTTCCATGGAATTTCTTTTCTCTCATATATGAATTTATAACTTTTCAAAAATTTTCTCAGATTCAGTAAACTGTGAGGAATGAGTGCCTTTAGTTGTTTAGGAAGGAAATTTCTTACCAAATGAATTGAAAGAATTAAATTGCTTGATGCTTATGAGTTCAGTCTTACAATTATTTAAGGATGATATATATTTTTGATGAAATATTAAAAGTTTTAGATGAGAAAACTTCTTTAATAATTAGAATTCCATTACTTGTATGTATATAGTACTTAGAAATTGTTAAAGGAAAATATTGAATGCATAACCTAACCTTTTGGATCAGGCATCTCCACATAGCCAGCAAGTGTGTAGCAGGAATGTAAAATTTTTATATATGTACAGTACTGTATTAGAAATTTTAATTGGCCTTTACCTTTATACCTGTACCAGGCTCCCAAAGGGTATAATTGTTTGGTAAGTGAGTACAGTACAACACCTTAAAAAAGGGTCATGACACTATTAAGTGACTTCTTGTTGGACACGTAGAGTCACAAGCTAATTTAACCTTGCCAAGATATTTCCTTTTCTACCGCCAGTTTTGAGTCATACTGAGAGGTGATCTGTGCAATTGTTTTCAGCTCCTTGGTATATATGGTCTTCTGGAAATCTTTTTTCACTACCTGAAAGTCATGTCTATACTCCTGTTTTGTGGTAATTTTTAAGTACAGAACACATTGAACTGTTACCATACCAGACCGGGTGAGCAACAGGATAATAGTGAATAAATGGGCTGTGGAATTAATGTTGTCAGATCTGGGAAACATTTCAACAAGGTCAGTTTAGATGCTTCAACAGATACTAGACCTTAGGGAAAAGTATTCTTGTTACCAGCTCTGGATAGCATCTGTTCGTCCATTCTTCCTTTAAAGATCTATGAAGCTGCTTCTCTAGCTGGTAGTTACTAGGTCAGTATATCGGGACTACTTTTTCAGAGACAGCTAGAAGTTTGTTCCTCTAGTTCTAACTCTAAAGGGATTACTTCTGCTGGGGATACCCAGTTCCTCCTGCCTGACTCACTTCAGTAAACAGAGTTGCTTGATCCAAGACTTACTGTAAAGTTATAGAGGGAGGATTAATCCTGAAATCTGTTTTATAACCAGTTCAGGATCAAGCAACTGGACAGTCCTTACTCTTTCTTTTGTTAGTGAGGGGAGCTGGTTCTGGGAGTTTGTTCTTTCCATGGCATTTTATAGCCGGTGCCAGCACACAAATTAACATATTGAAGCATCAGTGTTTACAATCAGAAGCAAAACTCGAGCCCCAGCCAGTATTGTATTTATATTTATTTGATATACTTTGTAGACCCCAGTCACAAGTCATGGCCCTGGGATATTGACCTGTAATCTTTCTGGCTTTTAGGGTTGCTTGATCCAGAATTCAGTTATGAATGGGATTTCAGGACCAACTTTTCATTAACATAAAACAGTAAGTGAATATTGACTCAGTAATGCTTTGATGATTGTTGATCACGATTGTGACTTCTGATACATTTTTGTTAGTGTATAGGCTGACAGTAGGGGCTGTAATTCTTCCCTGATCCTGTTCATTGTTCTAAGTCTATCTAGGTCCCATATCCATTTACTTGCACATTTCCTTTAACTGTAAGCTAAGGACAACAATTTTGTGGATTTAGAAGTAGTTTGGCATGAGAGCCACAACTAAACCACCAAACTTCTTTTGTGAAATTAACCAGGCGCAATACTTCATGATTTTCACATTAGTTAGGATTATTCGTGGTACAGTAGTTGTCTTGGATAACAATACAGCCCTTCTCTGTCCTGGTGGCTGCTTTATGAAGTACTTCTTGAGAGACAGGCAAGATGAACCAGTAAATGCTGACTTAACCCTACCACACTTAAATATAGTAGAGTAAATTCTAAAGTTGTTAGGTTAGAGAAAGTTTAGCTGAGCTGGTTTGTTTCACAACTTATAATAATTTTCTTTTGATTTTTACCAACATTACATTTGGAAAACCAAAAGTTTTAACACTGTTATATGACTGAACTCAGGTAAGCAGAAGAACTTTTCACCTGTGACGTTTGTAGAAACAAAAGACTAAGTAGTGGATTAAAATCAACCACGATATTGTCCTAAAATGCTACGCAATTTGTATCCACATTTAATAATCCAAGCTAATAAGAATATCATATATACCAGAAAATTTAAGGTTTTATTACTTTTTCATCAGGGATTTTGGTGTCTGACTGCTTTCTGACCCAACCAACTCTTAAATTAAAAAATGGCTGATCTTATTATGTGCTCTTGCATCTTAGGTTGAATCTAAATCAAGCAATACTA